CAAAGGAAGTAGAAGGGAAGCTCCGTGGAAGGAAAATCCCCGAGACTCATCCCATGTATGAGCAGCGTAAACCTGCAGCCACACAGGATGACAAGAGAGGCGTGGGCTTTCGACTGTCACAAATCCCGTCCATCGATCGAGCGAGGCACGCAGCAGAGCAGGCTATGGACAATCCTCAACGGACATCGTTTGATCACTAGCTAGGGGGTGGGAATTGCGCAGATTCAGCTGTGGTGAAGAAAGAGGCCATGTCCTTATTTATTAATTTACACTATAACAGTGTGCTTCAAAAGAGAGGAGAATACTCATTTATGAATGAAAGCCACTGTGGTGCAAGTAGGGCTTGATAGGGATGTCCTTGCCGAATTCTCGTCCACCTTTTCCCCTCGCTCAGCTTCCCATTCCTTCCAGTAAGTTCTTTTACAACATCCGCAAACCAAATCCGATCGAATCCAACCAGTCCCCTCCTACTGTTTTTTTTATTTCGCGCTAGCTTCGCAGGGGTTTCGAAGCCTACATATGTCTGCTTTTCACAGCCGTGTTGATAGCCGGTGATCGAACTACTCCCAAGGCCGAAGTTTTTGCCAAAATCTTCTCTACAGAAACACTGAAATTTGATCAAATTCTGGCCTGAATCCCTGAGAAATGAAAGAAGGTGGGGTGAGCAGTAAAGGGTAAATAGTGCCACCAAAGTCATTTTTTCTCATGGGTTTTCTGCACCAGGCGTCCCACCCTGTTAGAAAACGGGCACATGTTTGCTCTGTTACTTCCTATGCCAAGGTTTATGGCCGACAACGGCTAAACTTTTATTTGGGCTGAAACTTTGCAAAATAGAAAAAACAGCCGTTTAAAAAATACAATATATTGAGACCTTCCTCCAATAGAACCTTAAAACTGTAAATATATTTTTAATAACTATTATGAACATACCCATAAACATATTTGTCTTGGCGATGTTGGGTGAACCGACGGAACCGGAGAAGCGGGCACTTTGCACTTTCCATGCTTTAGTGGTTCCGCTTTACAAGTCTCACTCAGGTGAAACCTGTGAACTCTTGTGAAACTGGAGCAACCTTGTCAAGGCACCATAGTAAAAAGCATTGGTATGGTACTTCACTGCTTAACAGGTGTTGACAAGTATTCCTCACAAGAGTTGACAAATAGTTTCTACAGGCTTTGGCTGGTGTCATTTCGTTCAAAGCTCTCTCGACAGGTCGGTAGGAAGTAGCCCCCCCGTCGCCGAAACTGCGCCCTCGTTTTCGTTGCTAACGCCGGCGTGTCAGGGGGAATGGGTTTGGTCCGGCGCCTACCCGTTTTCCACCACTTATTGTCGCTTGCCCGTTTTAACATTGGTGGAGAAAGCGCCGAACCCAGGCTCTTTGACACGCCTGCAGGGAAAACAGTTGTCTATCGCTCATGCCACGACAAAGAGGAACACTTTTACGCCCCCCCCCCTTTCCCATTGACTCTCAGGTTTCTGTTGGGTAAAGGGGGGGCATATAGCAGTTGACACTATATCGTAGAAAACGGTGTATTTGCTAATTAGCATACCCAACTCAACCTTTCCTGGAAGGGGCACGTCATTGCTTGGGGATTTTGGTCGCGCCCGTACAACCCCGCCTCCCTCCCTCCCCCCGTTTCCTGCTCTGATCGAGGTAGCTATCGATCTGGGTGTATATAGCACATGTGAAACAGGAAAAACCACGAAAGCTCTGGAAAATTTTCTCCGCAATACCGCAACGTCAAATACGGCCCCCCTCCCCAACAACGGCCAAATACGACCCCTCCTCTCTATACCGCCTGGGACGAAAAAACAACTATCAGAAAATTTTCTCAGATTGAGTACGTCTACCCCCCCCCTTCCCCAGCTACCCGACGGTAGGTAGGATGGAAGATGGGAAGGGAAGGTGATCGTATCAGAAGAAGAAGAAGTTCTGAAGGGAGGTCGTATCTTACAGAAAAATCAACGCGGGATTTGCTCTGGTTTTAACCTAAGGTAGGCGTATCACGGTGCTCACTCACGTATAGCACTGATGTTGCTCTTCGAAATCGCAGATCATAGCGCTGAGAAAAGCTCCTCTCTTTATACGACCTTCCCCCCCCCCCAGCCAAATGAGGGAGAATAGACCTCCGGTCAACTATTACAAACAGTGAAATAGACTTGCACGAGCGGCTAGGAGGTTAGCACGTCCAAAACGCAAAGAACCAACGAACAAAAAAAATTCACGAAGTCAAATGCGTCCCCAACCAGCCCCCTCCCCCCTACCTACCTCCCTCACGGTTAGACACGACCCGTCTGTCTCGGTATAGTAACGCAAGCAACGTACTACTACAGTAATTGTTCCTTGTTCAAGAAGACAGAACGAGAACTGAAATTCAGTCAAAATGAGTGCCACGAAAGGTTCCACCAGTTCAGAACGCACATAATAACATCCGTTATGGCAGGACAGAACATTTAGCAGTTCTTTCACACAACAGCAGCTCGTTTTCTCGCGCTATATTTGTGACGTAACCCTGATCACGTAATACTTAGCACCGAAAAAGTCACTGAACGATCACGTTTCATTACGTGACTAAAATTTGACACGAACTGAGCGATAGCGAAGCGCGCATCGGCTTGGGGGAAGCATCAAATCATAGTCAGCCGAGCTTGTACAAACTAATGGGAAGAACTGTAAAGTCTTGCAACCAAAGGGACCCACTTGCACCAATTCGCAGTTTCACAAGGGTTTACAGGTAGCATCAAATACCTGTTTGGCAAGATCTAACACAAAAAACAGTCAGTGAAGTGCTAAATGCCCTCATACCACCCGAGCCGAACAACGTCGACGCGGTTTTGTTATCATATTCGGGTTCCCATGTAAGCGGCTTTGTAGGGGACGCGGTTTTCAGACCGTCGTGTTTTCGCAGGCTCTTGCTGTCAATGTACTTACTTATGGGAATGATAGGGCATAAAGTTTTGATGTATAAGGCCACTAAGGGCGTTATTAACCCTGGGAGGGGGTGATATTCCCTGTACAAACCTAATGTTGTCACGACAGGACAGGAGCTGCTCGCTCTGCAGCTTGTGAGCGGAAGCAGGGCACATCGTTGTTGGGGAATCCCCGACGGGGCGGTGGTCGTATTTGGCCGCCAGGAGAAAGGGGGTCGTATTTGGGCTGGGAAAAATTTATTTTGATAGTTGATTTTTCTCGCTTCACGGACGTTGTAAAAGGGGGGGTCGTACTTGCTCATTGTTGGGAGGGGGGGGGGGTCGTATTTACTTTTTGGCCTTATTAGGAGTGGTTGGGAGTAATGGTTGACTTTTCGTGATTTTCCTGTTTCATGCGTACTATATATCCCTCCCCCTCCCCTCGACAGCAAAATTTTTGGGAAAAAGTAGGGAAGTTTTCGGGAAATTTTGGAAAAAGTGGCAGGAAGTTGGGGAAAATCTGAGAATTGGTAGAAGGGGGTCGTATTGTCTCGCGGCTTTTCCTGTTTCACATGTGCTATTTACCCCCTCCCCCCGCTCGGCGGCTCGATTCCGATGAGGAGGGGCAGAGGGCCGGAGAGGGGGGAGTCGCACCAAGCCCCCAAAAAAGGGAGGTCTTTCGGTACGGACGTATAAACTCGACTAAAATCCCTAACCAATGATGTGTCCTGAACGGAAGTTCTCATCTTTATTACGGACGGTAATCCCTGTTTTGCAGCGATCCTTTGAATCCCTCCTTCCCCCACCCACCGCGCCCTCCCCTTTACACGTGTCACACAAGCAGCCTACGCCGCATGATTCTGCCGGCAGATGTTCAAACAGAACCCATCGCCACTCTAAAGCTCGGAACATCCAGCAGAAAAACAGTATGGAGATAATATGGGGTCTTTCGAGCCATGTAATGCTTTCTGAAAATCGCTCGTATACGTGGTAAGGGTAAATACAAAAACGCAAAAAAACGCTATTTTTCTTGCGCGCTTCTGAGAATGCTAAAGAAAATAAGAACAATAGGTCGTACGGTCGAATCCCTTTGGTGAAAAAATTTTGCATTCCTGTGACTTTTATTCCCTTGGGTTAGACCCTACTCGTCTGTACTCCTTCTTCAGACAATAAGTGTTCAAATACAATCGAATTTTTCTACCAAAAAGGGTAGAGAGCTGTCAGATATTTTGTCATGAAAGCGAAACCATGTCGTCTGCAGCGGAAGCGACTACGCTAAAAGAACCCCTCTTACTAGGAACACACGAGAAGGCCCAGTTAACTCATTTCGGGACAAAATGTCGTTAATCTGTGCAGTATGTACCTCTACGACATGCACCTAACCTTTTCGACGAAGCGCAGTAAACTAAAAGACCCACCCCTTAATGGGAACATACTGGAAGGCGAAATTTACTCATTTCGGGACTAAATGTCGTCAGTTCAGTGCGGAGACTCGGCCGTTGTCTCCCGCCGATAGAAACACATTGATCAACTGCGTCATCGGCGAGCAGCCAGACTGCGGCGATCACTTTGTCGGGACCGAGGTTGTCTGCTACGCTTGTCTACGACGGGGAGCGGCATGCTGTAA